AGGCTCAGGCCCCGGGGCCGCGGACAGCTCGGCACTCCCAGGTGGCGCCAGGCTGCGAAGGTGAGCGTGGCACCTGAGAGGGGCCCTGTGCCCACATCTGTTCTGGGGGGTGGTCAGCTCCCTCTTGGTCATCCTCTGGCGGGGCCTCCCTGGCACCGGGGGCCGGACTTCCCGCTTCCCCACCCGCCAGCCTTGCTGTGTCGGGGTCCTGGCCAGGAGGCAGGTGCTACTGGATCTATTTTGGACCCTCCTCCGCCCCTCCCCTCCCCGGCACCCTCCACTTTTCCGGGTCTGACCCTCTTCTGACACCTGCGTCTCTTCCTTGTGATCCCGAATTTGCGTCTGTTTCCTTCAAGCTAGAAAAGGTCTGCAGTTTCCAGAAGAGTGGACGCGCCTTCTTTGGACCGAGGTGGGGCAAGAGGAGCTGACCTGTGCCCTGTCCTGGGGGCCCAGCCTCGGCTCATGGCAGCGCCCCCGCTGGGCCGCCTGGTGCTGACCCACCTGTTGGTAGCCCTCTTTGGCATGGGCTCCTGGGCTGCCGTGAACGGGGTCTGGGTGGAGCTGCCCGTGGTGGTGAAAGACCTCCCCGAGGGTGAGTGAGAGCTGCAGGCAAGCGGGGGCCAGGCCGGCCCGGGAGGCGGGCTGCAGCCGCGTTGCCTCTGACGTGGCCCCCTGCCTTCCCTGCAGGTTGGAGCCTCCCCTCGTACCTCTCTGTGCTGGTGGCGCTGGGGAACCTGGGGCTGCTGATGGTGACGCTGTGGAGACGCCTGGCCCCAGGCAAGGGCGAGCGGGCCCCCATCCAGGTGGTGCAGGCGTTGAGTGTGGCGGGCACTGCCCTGCTGGCCCCCCTGTGGCAGCAGGTGGCCCCCGTGGCCCGGCAGGATCACTCCGTGGCCTTCCTGACGCTGGCCTTGGTGCTGGCGCTGGCCTGCTGTGCCTCCAATGTCACTTTCCTGCCCTTCCTGAGCCACCTGCCACCTCCCTTTCTGCGGTCCTTCTTCCTGGGTCAGGGCCTGAGTGCCCTGCTGCCCTGCGTGCTGGCCCTCGCTCAGGGGGTGGGCCGCCTCCAGTGCCCAGCAGCCCCCACCAACGGCACCCCGGGGCCTCCCCACTACTTCCCGGAACGTTTTTCTGCCAGCACCTTCTTCTGGACGCTGGCTGCCCTTCTGGTCATTTCAGCTGCCGCCTTCCAGGGTCTTCTGCTGCTGCTGCCGCCGTTACCACCGTCCATGCCCACAGAAGGCGTGGGGCCTGGCTGTCGGGTGGGAGCCCCAGGAGTGGAGGAGGAGGCGGAGGGAGAGGCCTCACCACTGCAGGAGCCACCTTTCCAGGTGGCAGGCACCACATCCAGCCGAAACCCTGAGGCCCAACGACTGCTCTCTGCCCGCAGTGCCTGCCTGCTGGGCCTGCTGGCTGTCACCAACGCACTGACCAATGGCGTGTTGCCAGCTGTGCAGAGCTTCTCCTGTTTGCCCTATGGGCGCCTGGCCTACCACCTGGCCGCGGTGCTGGGCAGTGCCGCCAACCCCCTCGCCTGCTTCCTGGCCATGGGCGTGCTGTGCAGGTGCACAAGGGGCCTTAAGCCACTGGGGTTGGAACCTAGGGATGGGGACCCCGGCCAGGAACAGCCAGTCCTGACTTCCTGCTTACCCCTGGCAGGTCTCTGGCCGGGCTGGGCGGCCTCTCTCTGCTGGGCCTGCTCTTTGGGGGCTACCTGATGGCGCTGGCAATCCTGAGCCCCTGCCCGCCCCTCGTGGGCACGACTGCAGGGATGGTCCTTGTGGTAAGCGCATGGGACACTGGAGCAAGAGGGTGGCAGGGGAGGTGTGCCCTGGAGCCGGAGGCATCTATGCTCAGCCTGCTGCTGTGTCTCCCCTAGGTGCTGTCGTGGGTGCTGTGTCTGGGGCTGTTCTCCTATGTGAAGGTGGCTGCCAGCTCCCTGCTGCATGGGGGCGGGCGGCCAGCATTGCTGGCCGTTGGTGTGGCCATCCAGGTGGGCTCCCTGCTTGGTGCTGTCGCCATGTTCCCTCCAACCAGCATCTACCACGTGTTCCGCAGCGGGAAGGACTGTGTGGACCTGTGTGGACCCTGAAGCTGGGCAGGTGGGCTCTCACTCCACCCCACCTGTGCTCAGGCTGGGGCTGCTGCTGTGCCTGATGCCCACGGTCCCGGGAGGCCCTCCCCACGCCGGGCATGAACATGGACACCGGCACACTCCACGGCAGACCCTGGCACCTCGGGCCAGGCTGGGGACCACAGAGCAGGCCCCAGTCAGGTCCCGACCGGCGCTGTGGGCGGGGCTTGGGCCTGGGCTCTGTGTGGGGTTTGCACAGTAAAGCGTTTTTTTTCTGAGTCAGACTTGTTAACCCCAGGAGCACCTTGTCCTCTGCAGACAGACTTCCCCCGGCCACAGTCATGGTCTGGCTGTTCCTAGGCGCCTGCCACCCCCACGCTGTTCTCATATTCCGGGGGTTATGGCCTCTGAGCCAGGGCTCCTGCCCCTGACACCTTGCCTCTTGGACTCCCCGGCCGCCTGAGAACTGCCCTGAGGGAGGGCAAAGGCCAGCTCCCAGGGCCTGGAGTCTGGGCCACGGACCCACACAGGCAGCGTGGTGCCCACCAGTGTCAGCCCGCCCGGACCGCGGCTACATGGTGGGGCCTCTTCCCAGCTGGGCCACTGCTCCACAAGCATCTGCAGGCCTGTGGTGGCCGAGCCAGCCAGGCACAATGGACAGGATGGGCTGTCCCTGCTTTGTGACCCGGGCGCGGCCCACTCGCCCGCTGCTCTGGGGGACTTGACGCCAGGGCTTTGTTGCAAGGTCCAGGCACAGGAGGGGCTCAGTGCGTGGGACTTAGAAGAGGCCTTGGTGTAAGGTTCCAGCTAGTCGGGACCTTTCTGCTCAAGAGCACTGACCCCTCCCCCGAGCCACCAGCCTCCAGTTCCTGGCTCCTTCTGTGATCAAAGGCCCCCAGCGCCTTAGTGTCCAGGCGGACGGCATCACCTCCTTCCTGAGCAGCGCACTGCCTGGGAACTGGCCGGCACCTGCAGGGGTGGGATCTGTACCAGACGCGGTCTGTCCAGGACTAGGCGGTTCTTCCACAGGCTGGAGTGAGCATCTGAGCCAGGACGGAGGGCTTGCAGGGGTTGCAGAGGGTGTGCTGATGGGGCTGCAGGGGGGGCGGGGGGGCAGGACAGATTAGGGCCTACCTCTGCTAGGAGCCCTGCAGCCACTAGTCACGGGGAGTGGGTGCTGGGAGATACAGCTCCGTCCCCGCTGCCCAGCTCCTTGACTCAGCCTGTGTTGGGGCCTCTGAGGCCCTCAGCTGCCTCCTCCCTCATCCCCTTCAACCGCCACCCGCCTTGGCAGGACCAGCTGAGCACGAGGGCCTCTCTGTGGGAGGGAGGGGCCCCGTGCCTGGACGGTGGAGCCTCTGGTCTGGAGTTCCATCCAGGAGTGGGCTCCCAAGTGGCTCAGACACAGCCCAGCCCTAAGGGCGGGAGGCCACCCGCCAGGCCCCAGCCTTCCTTCCGGGGGTGGAGCAGGGGCACATGCCTGGCTGCTGGCCTTTGGGAGGCGGGGGTTTTGGTGGTGGTGAGTAAAGATTTAGAGGGAGGAAGATGGGGGCCTCACACCACCAGCACCCCTCTCCTGCTTCCCTGGAGCTGGAGGTGGGGGTTTGAGGAAGCCACTGCCCTTTGAAGTCTGCAGGGCCTTCCGGTCATTGGTCAGTGCCCATAGGAAACAGGACAGAGGCCAAAATACCAAGGGGAGGAGGGGCTGCAGGGCCAAGTCCTGAGAGCCACCGACATACCCATTCCTCGTGGCTGCCCAGAGCCAAATCCTGCAGCCAGGGAGGCAGGGCAGCCCCCATGCCAGGACCTTCAGAGCTGGGCCCTGCCCCAGTGCCTGTCCCAGAACAAACCTCCAGCTGGACAGCAGGTGTCAGTGGCTCTGAAGCTCCCAGCTCTGCCCAAAAGCCTCTCAGGCCTGGGGCTGGGGCATTAGAAGGAGACCCTGGAGGGCAGCCCCCTGGGTGACAGCGGAGCCTGAGCCACCAGGGCCACTGCTGTCCTTCCCACCACCAGGAGCAGGCCCTTCAGTTCCTCAAAACCAGACCGGGGGT